TTACGTTTTTTTTTTTAAAAAAAAAAAAAAAAAAAAAAAAAAAAAAGTTGAAATAATTTTTTACAGCAGGGGCTCCCAAAAATGTTGGCAACTGAATCCCTTAGACATAAAATATTTCCTTGAAGAACCCCCTGAGAATTGAAATTATAATTTTTAAATTATTATTATTATTATTACCATTATTATTATTATTATTATTATTGTTATTGTTGTTGTTGTAATACATATAATTATAATTGTATATATAATAATATTGTTGCTAATTACAAATTTACTGTCAAAAAAAAATGAATAGTTGATAATCATAATAATGAAATGTGCTGCATGACTATACAGTTATTTAATTAACCTGCAGCCTTTGATTAATAATATATATTATATTTGTATTGGTTTATTTACATAGGGACAGTACAACCATTTTTTTTTTTAATAATTCTGAAATTATTTAAAAAAATAAAATAATTATAATATGCATTATACATCGAGAGTATAGCATAAGATAATCTGCATCTCAGGTCCATAGAAAAAAAAAAACTTTTACAATTAAAAAAACTACTTTAACAACCCTACATTGCTAATATAATATAGCCATATACACTTATACATAAATTAGAAAGAAAAAAAAACCTTGCAACATATAAATATAAGAAATACATTTTAACATACTGAATCTGGATAATTCATTATAATGTCTCACACACAAACTGACTACTATAGATTACCTCGAGTTTCTTTCCATCTTCATCATGTACAGACATGCTGACCTCCACGTTTTTAGGTGTCGTCTTACTTCCTTTATCAAAATCCCCCTGAACCAGCGTCACGTAAATGTCATTCCGAACATCACCTGCAAAAACATGCACAAGGTCTCAGCGTCGCTTATTAACAGGATCGATGTGTGATCTACAGCTAAAAATAGACAGTTTGCAATACAGACCTTAGATTTGTATTAGGAAAACACACAAAAATAGCTCAAGCAAGTGCTGCTTGCACATTCATAGGTCATAATCAGTATTTTAGAGTGTTGTTCATACTTGAAATTAAATAGCGGCTGTACCTTTAAGAGTTCTAAATGTAAATGTTGTGATTTGATCATTTCTGCACGTGAAATGAATATCAGCAACAGTCAAAACAGGAGAAGGATATAACCGAGAGGATGTTGATATGTAAATGTGGATAGTCATATATGAATGTCCATCATGATGATTTGCAATGTAGTTTTCATGAATGGTCTGGTTGAACTTTTCATTGTCACTGTTGTATGTTAACTAATTCAAAGAGGAGCAATAAAATCCTGTTTTTATTGTAAATACATTTCAGTTTGATGATGGATACCTGGCATGATGATTTCTGGGAAGCCCATCTTGCGAGCGACAGCGGTGGAACGGTCCACCAGGTGAGGGAAATCTTTCCGGATCTGATGAATATCACCTGGAAGCAACTTCAGTGTGACCCACAAACCTGAGGACCAGAGGAACAGACTGCAGTTAAACACACAGAGAGAGAGAGAAACGCTGCCTATCTGTGCTTAACAGCTCACGGGAACTTAGCTCATTTTAATATCTCATTATTAGTGATCTACAAAAAATAATTAAGAACACCAGATTAATTTAATTGCTGAGAAAATACCTGCAGGAAGCAGAGCGACTGTGTTACTTAAAGTTTAGGGATGAATTGTGCTGTGAATATTTTATACTAATACATTAAAGATTAAACTGAGCAATCTGAGCAAATAGCCTGAGCTGTTAAAAATCCATAGAAGAAGAAAAAAGTATATTTTGTTTTATAATTTTTATATAATATATTAGTTTTCCATTTTATCTCCAAGTTCTCATTATTGTAATGAAAAATAAATCCTATTTTATTCATTTAATCCTAATAAATATTAATATTTACATTAAGTGTATATTAAGTGTATATTATTCAATTTGTATAATAATAGGTATAATAACAATAATGTAAAATAAATAAAAGTTTATATCATAATAGTATTTGTTGTGCTGAATTTAAGTTATGCTTAGCATAAAAATAAATATTTTACATAAAGTGTACATCATGTTATTTGCATAATAATAATAACAACAACAACAACGACAAATAAGGACAATCAATCAAACAAATACATAAATAATAAATATTAAGTATACATTATGATAGTGTTTATTGTATTCATTTAAGTTGTACCGTTTTAAAATAAAATAAATGAGAAATCTGAGGGTAATATGTGCTTAACTGCCATTAAAACAGACCAATGCTTGTTAATATTTGCTAATATTTAAAGGCTAATATCTGATCATCTAACTTTGCAGTCAGTGAATCTGTGCAGGTCATTTTCGAAAAGACTGAAAATGTCTTTTACTTTTAGAATTAACTACACAGAGCCGTTGTTCATTGACGAGCTGCGCAAAACCACGTTCATATTCGCGCAATTTTTTGCGCAGCTCGTCAGTGAACAACGGCTCTGTGTAGTTAATTCTGCTCAATGTGAAAGCACGCACGTGATGGAGATTTACCGCTGATTACAGAACCGGCTTTCTGACAAGATGCGCGTTAAATATCGCATGCGATTTATCGTGCAGCCCTACCAATAATGCTTTGCATGTCGCCTGAATAGCTCCATCCTAAATCGTAAGTTAATTGGTCTTAATGACTCCACCTCCATTACCCTCACTGCTGTTCCGGATTAACCTTGATCATAAATGAGAAGAACCTCGTCATATCTGACTGATCTTAGATTATCCTGGAAGTTTATGCTCCTTCATCTCAATGTACTGCTTGTGATAGCAGCTTTTCTAATGCTAGGAATCACAGGAAGGATGGATTATATTTGTGGCGTTGGATTGTGATGTGATCTGACAGCAGTGCATCCAGACATATTTGCTTCCCATTCTCCTCAGCACGAACCAATTCTCATGCTTGTTAAACCCAATTCAACTTCAACTAATTTTGCTCAATAACTCTGTCATTTGTAAGATTCAGGCCCCTCTAGATTGTGCAAGTCTCTTGGCAGGAACTCAGTTTGATCGTATCTGGGACAGTGTCGCTCTCCATCTCCTCACATCAGTTTTATCTTCCTGTATTTTTAACTTCCCACACTTTAACTAGGCTACAGAACGAAGCTGCAGATCATTAACTCCAGCCAAATAACCATCTCAGATTTATTTTGAATCAGGAACATTTCTTTACCGTACAGATTAAATTTTTACTGTAGGTTAAGACAGTGTTTCCCAACCGGGGTGCCGTCTGTCGAGAGCAGGGGTGCCGTGTAAAAAATCATTTTTTAATATTTTTAAATTGCTAAAATGTTCAAAAAAGCATTATATAAAATCCATTTCTGACGTCGCCAATAATTAGAGACGCACCGAAATTTCGGCTGCCGAAAATTAGTTCACCGCTCAGGTTTCACTTTCACGTGGTGTGACGCTCTGCGTACTATCCCGCTCTATTCGTGTTCGCTCCGCTCAATCGCTCCACTCGTATACCGTTCATGCGAATCGGAACAGCACATTCCACTCAAAAATCGAGCCGACAGGAAACATCGATGTAGTACAGTATTATTTCTGTCTGCAATAGCCCTACTGTGTTGTAACATGGTGTGGTATATGGGCAACTCTGGTAACGCTGCCCTCTCATTCAAAATTTATTTTGTAGGGTGCCACAAGTTTGTTAAAATTTCCAAAGGGTGCCGCAACTAAAAAAAGGTTGGGAAACACTGGGTTAAGACACGTCATAAGAGAAACCCTCTGGGAATGTAGGGCCCTAGAAAATGTGTTTTATTTTATATTTCCCAAATTCTTTTTCCTGTTTTAATGTTTCTGAATTCAGTTTTAATTGTTAAAAAAATAATCAAAAAGCATGTCTAATTAATTGAAATCATGAAACATACAATACCACAACAATTTATTAAGTTACATTTTAGGGTCCTGTGAAATCAGCTTTATTTTTCACAAATTCTGTTTTATTTTTCACAAATTCTGTGTTGTATGTTTTAATGGTCTAATTAAATTTTTGATAACGAGAAACGTCTAATAAATTGAATTCATTAAACTTTAACAATTTAATAATTTATTTTAATGATAGGGCCCTATGATTCTGTTTTAATGGTTAATTAAAATTTTAGTAATGAAAAGTTGTCTAATTTATTGACATCATGAAACTTATACAATTTAATAACAATCTGTTAAAAGTTAAACAGAAATAAGTTTTTGAGTCCTATGAAATCGTTTTTTTTTTTTTTTCCAAATTCCATTTTATTTTGTGTTTTCGGTTTTAATTCATTTGGATTACATTTTAATGGTTTAATTACATGTAAATAATTTAACAATTTAATAATTAATTAAAATTTGTACAGTAATATGAACTGTTTTCTTTTTCAGAAATTCTGTGTTGTCCGTTCAAATTTTTCCAGATTTACAGATTTATTATCCAAAATGGTTGCAATTATATGAAAGCATAAAATATTAACAATTAAACTGATCTTTAAAATGTAAGGAAATAAAAATGTAACAATTCATTTTATTTTTGACAAACAAAGTGCTGCACAAAAGAGGTTTACTGTGAAAATAAAAGCATGGAAAGAAAAATTATGCAATATTCCTTAAAAAATGTTTTAGTAATTTTACCACCTGTACCACCTGACCACCTCAGATTCATTTAGCTGCAATGTTTAGGTGTTGATAGTGTTGCCATAGAAATGCATAATTCCAAGCCCAAGGACGTGAACAGCTCCGATTAGAATGTCATGTCTCCAATTTTTAATGTCATCGTAATTATAACGTATCATAAGATACATGATAATAGCGTTTTTTTGGGTTGTTTTTTTTCTTTTCAAATTAAGTGTTGAAATGCTGCTTAAGTGACTCTCAGAGCAGCTCTGGAGATGAAAGGTGTTCACCCCTGTGACCTTTACCTTGACCTTTGTGATTGACCTCTTTGGCAGCGATGACCTTGTTGATGACGGTCTGGAGGAAGTCGTTCTCGCCCGCCACCCTGGGTGAAAAACGGGAGATGTTCAGCTGCCTGTGGCGAATGGCGTCATCCAACGCTAGCCTGGAGTTCACACGCGACAGGCAACACGCCAACGGGGAGGAGAGAGAGAGAAGGAAGAGAAAGAGAGAAGAGTAGTAGCCACAGAGAGCCAGATAAGGGTGGACATGAGCAGAAGAAGAGAAGGATGAAGAAAGCAAGAGGGAGAGAGAGGGAAGACACCAAACAGTGATACAGATACCATGACAGGGACAAAAGCCATTTTGTTAGCAAACAGTAATGCGGGATGGGTGACAGAAGAGACAGAGAGAGATGCTGTAATTTCAGAAATCACCCACCATCTCACCCAAACACAGATGAAGCCACTGCCTCTATAAAGACCCAAAACCTAGTGAGCTGCCTTAATAATAAAGATATAAAAAGGCGCACTACAGATGAATGATACCTAATTACAATAGTAATTATAGTAAAGCTAAGCAATTATAGTACATAATTCATCCAAGATGATGAACAGGGTAAAATGTATTGATTATAAATAAAATGTACTTTAAAAATACATTTGTACTTATATTTGATTAATACAATTAAATAACAAATATTATATGAATATTGTATTATATGAAAATGTATTTACTCAATGTAAAAATGTAATTCAATTTACTTACAAATATTAATTTATTATAATTGTCTGGCCCATTTATTATTATTATTATTATTATTATTATTATATACCACATATAAGAGAGAAGAGTAGTAGCCACAGAGAGCCAGATAAGGGTGGACATGAGCAGAAGAAGAGAAGGATGAAGAAAGCAAGAGGGAGAGAGAGGGAAGACACCAAACAGTGATACAGATACCATGACAGGGACAAAAGCCATTTTGTTAGCAAACAGTAATGCGGGATGGGTGACAGAAGAGACAGAGAGAGATGCTGTAATTTCAGAAATCACCCACCATCTCACCCAAACACAGATGAAGCCACTGCCTCTATAAAGACCCAAAACCTAGTGAGCTGCCTTAATAATAAAGATATAAAAAGGCGCACTACAGATGAATGATACCTAATTACAATAGTAATTATAGTAAAGCTAAGCAATTATAGTACATAATTCATCCAAGATGATGAACAGGGTAAAATGTATTGATTATAAATAAAATGTACTTTAAAAATACATTTGTACTTATATTTGATTAATACAATTAAATAACAAATATTATATGAATATTGTATTATATGAAAATGTATTTACTCAATGTAAAAATGTAATTCAATTTACTTACAAATATTAATTTATTATAATTGTCTGGCCCATTTATTATTATTATTATTACCATTACATAATATTATTATTAAAATATATTATATTGCATATATAAATTGCTATATTATATATAATACCATATATAAAAAATTGTATATTATTGTTATATAAAATGTACAAATTTTAATTGTGTAATTCTTTAAATATATTTTAAATAATACATCATCATTAATTATTTATTATTATTTAGACATTTAAATTTGTATATTATAATGTAAAAATAAATTGTATTACGTATATTGTATTATTATTATTATTTAAACATTTCTATATTGTTGATAACAAAATAATTCATTTTAACTTGAAATAATTCTTACTAATTAAAATATTTTATATTATTATATATGTACAAATTGTAATTCAATCTAATTTTTAAAATAGCATATTTTAAATAATAATATATACTGTTTTATGTATTATTATTATTATTATTGACTTGCTATTTGTTGCTGCCTATAAGAAGCATTCAAATCAGTCACAATTTGATCCTTTAAGTTAGGATGCTGCCTTAAAATGTAGCTGCCTATGTAGGCAGCAGTAGACAGAAAGACAGTTCACTAGGTTTTGGACCAGAGCTAATCTAAAGTCACAAATAAGCTGCTACAAAGCAAAAACCTCCCTGAAGTGAAAACACGCATCTTAAACACCCCACAATTCCCAGCAAAACCCTGGACTCCTCTCTGAGTGACCTGGCTGGGCTGAGAGAGTAGCAAAGCAGAGAAAGACTGAAGTATAGTCTTATTGAGTGACAGAATGAACGAGTGAGTGAGTGACTGTGAGGCACATATGGATCCCCTACATAATAAGAGTGTGTTTGTGTAGTGTTGTCTTCAATGAATAAATACACAGATCATTGAACTGATACAGCAGAAATCAGAAAAACAGACAACGCAAACAAACGCATGACTACACGATACCTAACAAACTACCTTTTGATCTGCCTAACTAGCAAGTGTTTCATGCACTTGACTGGAGGTCAAAACTGTTTCACAATAAGTCATTTCCGTGATGTTATGTTATTACCATCATAAAGGCTGTTGTGTTGGCGTCATGAAGTCATACTTACGGCTGGAAGGGTATGAAGTGCTGCTTGTCCTCATCGTCCATCTTGCCCGTGATGATGTCTGTGACGTCCATTACTGTAGAGAGAAGAATGAGACGAGAATAATGTCTGCACAATCAAACATCATGTCTCAGCAACTATGGATGAATCTCATGAAAAATAACCATCTCACATTTCATCCCAAAATCAAAAGGGACAATGCTCTTCTCAGGAGCAGGAGGAACGATGTAGCCGATGTGCATGTACTTGGAGGCTAATTTACTGTGCAAACCCAGAAAATCGCTGAAGCGCCTCTTGACGCAGACCTCGTCTCTGCTGAATATGGACAGACTGGTCTGCAAACAGAGAAAGAGAGTCACACACGTCCTCCAGGAGATCCACAACATCTCAGACCAGAACCTAAAGCTTTTCTTACTTTGGTCAACACTTTATAGACCATGTACGCATTCATGCCGTCACCTAGAAAAACAAAGAAATTAATCACAATCAGAATCGACATGTGTGCACAAATACACAAGAAACTGTGGTAAATCTTAATATATAAATAAATAAATCATATAAAATAAAGTATATATAAATAAAAAACAAACAAATAAATAAATAAAGATAAATATGAAAAAAATATATAAATAAATAAATAAATGTATATATATATATATATATATATATATATATATATATATATCTGTCATGAAAATATCATCTCAAATCTTGATCTTTTTTAAAGGCTTTGCAAATAAAATATTTATTTCATTTAATTTATTATTATTATTTTATTTTGGGGTGTAATATGACATGAATGTGTCTTCGCGAGATCCCATCTCGGGCTTCAGCCCATCACTGTGAAAAAAATTTAATAAATAATAATAAAATAAGTAATATAAAATAAGCCATAGTAAAAGAGAAACACTCCTGGAAGTTTAAATTTGTGGTTTATAAGGTGAGAACAGGCAAAACTTTCTAGATAAGCTGTCAAGCAGCAGCTATTACTGACTGAACCCATAAACATCGCCTCTAAATGGCCATTTGGCCTGGTGTGCAGCAGTGGCCATGCTGAGATTGGGTTTACAGCAGGAAACAGGAAACTGATGAGCCATAATGGAAGCGTTGGCTTGTCTCTGAATGTGACACATTAAAGGTGACATTGCACATACAGGTTCTGCCTCTACCTGCCTGACCCACATACAGACATACTGCTAGCGGCAGTACGTACATACAGACAGACAGACAGACAGACAGACAGACAGAGAGAGCGAGAGAGAGAGCGAGAGAGAGAGAGAGAGAGAGAGA